AAAAAATCCAGTCATAAAGCAGACACATCAAGCTATAATAAATTATATTTACTCAAAAGTTACAAGGGGATAATCAGCATCAACCATGATCCACACAGCACTGATTATGATCCTGCTGTGAAAACTACTTAAGGGCAAAAAAAAATTCCATACCATATCAAATTGTGAGATTATATTAAAATCCTTAAATGTAGAACAATACACACATTATAAAAATGGACCCCAATGTATGGCAAACATAGAGAGTAACTAAACAAACTCTAGCTGAAAATGTAACCATTTGATTTTCATTCTCGGACTTCAGACTAAACTACAACAAAATCACACAGCCCACGTTTTCCCACAACACTAAGTGTGAGCCATGCGTTATTTCTTTAAAACGGACTTACAGTTTTTAGAAGCTCAAATTGCTCAGAGTGCCCTAGTTTATTCAATACGTTTTACAGATCATCGCCATTGACTTAAAGCATTTTTAAGGAAAGTGTTAACCCACTGATTCTCAGTACATGACTGAACACCCCCATGGGAAAAAGAGCAACATGTGGAGACATTTTTGGTTGTCATACTATGTGTCTGGAGGAGCGTGAGAAGGCAGGTATGTTACCTGCATCTAGTGGAAAGAGAGAAGAGAAGGGATGCTTTTAAACATCTTACAATGCAGGGAACAGCCCCTCCACAAAGGCAATGCCAAGAGTGCTAAAGCTAAGAAAACTTAGGTTGACTTAAGTTACCAAATTATGTTCAGATATGGAAATCTGTGCTAATATAGCAGACACAGTAGTAACTGCTAAAACGCAAAGAAGAAGAGCATGGATTTTGGAGTTCCAGGAGCCTGGGTTCAAACTGCGGACTCACCATTTTCTAATAATGCAACCTTGAACAAACTGCCTAACTTCTCTGTTTCAATACAGAACTAATTCTACTTCTCTCAGTTATTCTGAGGAGCAAATGAGATGGTATATGCAAAGTGGCCAGAAAAGTGACCAGAAATCAATGGAGGTAGAATTAAAAAACATGGGAATGTGCCAGCATAGAGAAACGTAAAGAAACATGACAACTAAATGTAATGCTGTATAATGGATGGGATCCTGAAACAGAAAATGGACATTAGGTAAAATCTAAGGAAATCTAAATAAGTTATGGACTTTAAGTTAATAATCATATTTCAATATTGTTCATTACTTGTCACACACATCATACTAATATAAAACATGAGTAAAAATCTGGGTGTGAGATATAAAGAAATAGAATGTACTAACTTAATGACTTTTATAAGTCTAAATCTATTCCAACATTAACTTATTAAGAGGTATTTCTATGCTTCTTCCTTCCTCGGAACTCATCTGCATGGTCCTAAAACATTTAGGATATAAGAGTTCTAAGAATTTTTCCAAAAGAGTTTTAACATTACACGAGGCTTCCCTGGTAGCTCAGACAGTAAAGCATCTGCCTACAACGCGGGAGACCTGGGTTCGATCCCTGGGTTGGGAAGATCCCCTAGAGAAGAAAATGGCCACCCACTCCAGCATTCATGCCTGGAAAATCCCATGGACCAAGGAGCCTGGTGGGCTACAGTCCATGGGATCACAAAGAGTCAGACATGACTGACTGACTTCATTCTTTCAACATTACAGAACTGTCAAGACAAAAGAACTACACTAATTGGATAGTAAGCAGAAACTCATGAAAACAGAAGTAAAAAGCGATATGGGTGTTAAAACTGGGTGCCCTGAGTGGAAAAACCTTCTTATCGCTGATCCAAATTACAGCACATTTATGGAAGACTGTTTCTGTTAATTCAAAGTTTACTTTTCCTTCTAGGTGGTATTAGATTTCATGCTGAAGACTGAGTAAAGGCTGAAAACAGGTAAAGGCTGCAGATGGTTAAAATAAGTAAAATAAATCTCTAGTAACAAAAAACAATTAAGTGCTAGTAAACCAAAGTACTGGCCCCTGTTTAAATCAAACAGCTTAATGAGAGCATATGGGGTTACTCTGAGCTCTCCAAAAAAGTGATTCCAGGCAACAGAAGAATTCAGTTACAATGCAAAAGAATAACAAAACAACATAACATTTTTTGGTTGTATCTGTCCACATTAAAAAAAAAGTATCAAGCATCTTTGAAACACTGGCTGAAGGTTAATGAAGACCTTTTTTTTAAACTTTAAAAAAAAATTGAGGTATAATTGTTTTATAATGTTGTACAACAAAGCGAATTAACTATATGTATACATAGACCCCCTCCCTTTTGACAGCCCCTCCTACCCCTCCCCCATCCCATCCCCAGGTCACCACACAACACTTGAGTTGAGTTCCCTGCACTGTACAGGGCTTTTTTTGTTTTTTCACATAAACCATGTCCCTGGTTTTTACAGCCCCTTTAGGGGTACAGAAGAGTTACAAACAAAAGAATTAAAAGTGCAAAGCCACTTGACACAGCACACAAAAAAGGAGCAGTAAGAGTTTCGCCTTGAATCATGTCTGCCTAAAATAAGGTTAATGTCCTAACCTAGGTGACTGTGAATGTGATGTTATCTGTAAAAAGGATCTTTGCAGAAGTAATCAATTAAGTCATTAGACTCATCCCTAACCCACCGGTACTGATGTCCTTTTAAGAGAAAAGACAGACAGAGAGAAGGCAACAAAATGACAGAGGCAAAGACTGCCATGACATATTCAAGGGAAGGAATACCAAGGACTGCTGAAAACAACCAGAAGGTGAGAAGAAGGAAAGATTCTCCCCTAGAGGCTTCAGGGGAGCTGAGACCTGCTGACTCCTCCACTGTGGATTCCTAGCTGCCAACACTGGGAGACAACAAATCTGTTGTTTTAAGACACCAAGTTTATGGCACCTTATTATAGCAGCCCTGGGAAACTAACACAGTAAGGAACCCAGAAACATTGGCTTTCATTACTGTGTCACTAGGACTGTGACAAGCAGGCAAATATAGAAGCGGGCTAACAAATGCCAGCAGGTAGCAAGTCCAACTGTAGCAAGCAGAACAAGTGAGAAATTACAGTGAGCCCTCCCTGCCCACTCTATCTGGTGTGAAGGGGAGAGTCGTCTTTTCTTTGGGTTCAAATCCACTAATTCCCACTTCTACTCCTCCCTTGCAGAGCCATCAATTTGACTTCTGAACAAATACTCCCTTACGAAAAGCATCTAGGATCCTATTCACAAATGCCCATAACCCAGATTTAGTACTTCTGCTGTTAAAGAGAAAACAGGTGCCATGTTCACCATTAAGTGAAGTCTGGCAATTTTCTTCACTCAGTAAACCTGAAGATTTCTCAACTGTTTGCAATTATCCTTTGAAGAAGTTGAAAATTCTTAAATATTGAATTAAACTTATTTCACAATGCAAAACAAGGTAAAATTCAGAATTCTGCCATCAAGGACTTATATGAATCTTTCAAATGTGAGAAGAGTAATGCCAATATTTAGATCTTTCTTAGATCAGTCCAGATGAAAAGTGGTTTTCTTTCCATTTATTATTAGCATTTTGAAGATTTAAAGAATTAGTAACTCAAATGCAAGACTGGATGCATCTACCTGACCTAAGCCACTACCATTGTTGCCTTGAAAAAGACAGTTTTACTGGTAGGTATTTTCCATATTAAAGCCTTTTGTCAGATAGAGAACCCAGTTCCTAGATTACTCCAAACTGTAGCTTCAGAAAGAGGAAGAGTCATAATTAACCTAAAAGAAAAAAAGAGTCAACTGTTACCTGGACATCCTAACAGTCACATGAATCACACCCATTTACTGAATTATAGATATGCCAGAACTAAGATTTTTAGAACAGTTCATCTGACTCAATTCACTAATTTGCACATTTGAAGAAACCAAACTCCTGCCTGGGAAAATGTCCCCAAAGATAATATTCAGTTGGTTGATGAAATCTACCAACTTCTCTCCGACTATTCTGTTAGTATTAAAAGTCAAAAACTTCTACAGTACATTGAAATATCGCTTATCAGAGGAAGTGCAAGTAATATTTAATGCCAAGTTACTGGGGAGAGAACTTCGGTCTCTCCCGGGAAGAGTCTGGGGAGAAAAACCTGATATCAGAATCTTATCAGCCTGGAGAGCAAGGTGCATAAGAACGACGATGGGTTTTTAGTCACACTGGGGAGGAAGCCAAGGTTAAAGGCTGAGACGGGGGTAAATGAGCTCTATAAATTTCAGAAATCCGCGTACTTGGCACAAGAAATGATGCGCAAACTTATTCGCGTGCCCAGCACACTGCTCACAGAGGCACCATGAAGATCAGTTAAAGTCACATAAGCTGTGCTGAGAGCAACCCACCAGCCAGAAAGGAACTGCATCCGCCTACACTGTGTGAACACCGACCAAGTGGTCTCTGCTCTGCCGGATTCCGAAAGTCTCAGAACTGGCTGTTCACTGCGCCATCACTGCGGGCACGCCCCGCACTCCGCTGCCCGCCTGTCCCGCACAGGAGCCCCTTCCCACTTCCCCATCCCCACCAAATCTCCGAGGGGCCACCTACCCGCAGGCCTCTGCACTGGGTCACGGGGTCCTGGGAAGAACCGAGAGGTTCGGAGGGGCCCCAGCTCCTGCAGAGCGGTCAGGGCTGCGGCTACCCAACGCCAGCTTCTCAACACTGCGAGGCTAGTACTCCATCTTTGCCGTCAATTAACCGGATCCCCGGGTGGGGCTCGGACAAGGCCCCGCCATCGCCAGCAGTTCAAACGTGGAGGCTGGGACAGGCGCACGTGGAACCGGAGCTGAGTGACACGTGGGGCCCACACAGGCGCACGTGGGACTGGGGCGCACGTGAGGCTAGGGCTCACGTGACGCTAGGGCGCACGAGGGGCTGGCGGCACATGGAGGCCCCAGCAAGCGCATGTGGGACACGTGGGGTCATTGTCTGGCACGCAGCCAGGCACGTGCCCGCTGTGAGCCCTGGGGACGGGTGCGGCCCCACCCTCCAGCGTTCCTGGTCTCAATGCTCTTCCCCAGGCATCCCGGTGCCAGCGTCTCCGCAGGCCTCCCACCCCGCGGGCCTCCGTCCCCTGGATGGTCGTCACAATCCGTGCAAAGGGGTGAAAGTGCGGTCAGCTCACAGGGCCTGGGTTGAAACTTTCCTTGCTAATCAGGACCGGTTAAATGATTTAACCCTTCTGTGCTTCTTTCGACCTCTGGGATGCGAAGGTAATACTTTCACGAAGTTTTTTTGTTTTATGAGAATTACAAAAACTAATCACCATTTAGTCACTGGGTCTGGAGCATGAGTGCTTAACTGATGTTGTAATAAACGCACTTAATTTTTGTTTTTTTTTTGTTTTGTTTTTCACATACTCCTCCCTGTAAAGAACGAACAAATCCGTGTCTGGCCCAGGAGAACAATGTTAAAAGTCTGAGGGCTGGCTGCTAAGGAAATCTGTGTGGTCTCCTAAGAGAAGTTGGGGCGGGGGTGTGGATTTGGAGGGCGGGGAAATTGAAGGCAGGGAATCCAGGCTAGATCCACTGCAGGGCAAGGAGACAAGAGTTAGTTTGAAAAGACCAGTGATCCAGTTGCCAGAAACTTTCTGACTTTTAAGCTTGAGAATTTTGCGGTCATTTTTTTGACCTATGTATTATCACGTCTTTTCTTAATAAGGAGAATGTTTATGTGACTTGTTTATAAATTACCATGGGGTCTAAGTGGGGGCTGACTGGAAAGAGTTCCTAGGTGTGGTTGTTTCAGAGAATACAACTTAAGAGACTGTGCCCCTGGTTTAGTGCCTGGGACGTTGTGGGAGAGGGAACAGAAATATCTGCTGTCATGCTTAAAAATGTGTCAGTCTTTTATTTTAAGGTACTCATTTCTTCTGCTGGTAGTCATATGGTTCCTTTGTAGTGACACGGTTGACTGTAGTTTCCAGAGATAGTATACAGCTCAGTCACCCATTAGACCAGTTGGCTGTAGTCTGTTCCTTGGTGTTTAACTGAATGAATACATCAGCCTATCTTCAAGTACTTTGGAGACAAAAAGCTCATGTCCTTTCTGAAAATAAATCTTGACAAACACTAATGTTGTGTTTTGAAAAGGCAGGTGTTTTATTCCATTCAGGCTGCTATAACAAAACCCCACACTGAGTGGCTTATAAAGGACAAATTTATTTCTCATATTCCTGGAGGCTGGAAGTCTGAGATGCCTGGTTAGGTAAAGGCCGTTTTCCAGGTTGCAGATTTCTGCTTGTAACTTCACATGGTGAAAAGGGCTAGAAAGCTATGTGGCAGGCCCCATATGAGAGCACTAATTCCATTCATGAGTACAAAGCCCAAAGGCCACAATTCCTAATACCATCACATCAGACCAGATTTCAACAAACAAATTTTGGGGGACACAAACCTTCAGACCATAGTGGCTGTCAGTGACCTCAGTGGTCATTTTGCTAGCTTATATAACTGTTCAAAGACTTTTCCACTAGCTTCTGCTGTATTTGCTCTCCTCATATGGAATGTTCTATTTTCTCTCTTTTACCACTCTCCATTCTAAGCAACTTGAAGATGTTATGCAAATCTCAGTTCCCATCTTTATCACTGGACAGATATTTCATATATTCAGTTAAAGTAACATAACCTCTGTTACTTTATGGTAACTGTAAGCTTACCTTCATATACTCTTTCTCTGACCTCCAATGGCAGTTATCAGGTACATTGTTATTTAGCTATATATCATACAGATATATTTTACCTTTTTTTAAATTAATTTTATTGGAGCATGGTTGCTTTAGAATGTTGAATTAGTTCCTACCTTACAACAAAATGAATCAGCCATACATATATTTCTAATTAATAGACTTGAATTTTTAAAGCAATTTTAGTTTTATAGGAAGACTGAGTAGAAAACAGTTATGTATACTTTCTTTTCCCCTCACAGATTATGTTATATCCACCCCATTATTAATATCTTACATTTATGTATTATATTTGTTATAGTTGATGTACTGATATTGATACATTATTATTAACTGAAGCCCATAGTTTGTATTAAGTATTCACACTTACTGTTGCATAGATCCATGAGTCTTGGCAAATGCATAAATTCATATGTCCACCATTACAATGTAGAATAGTTTCACTAACCTAAAAATCCCTCCGATACCCAGTATTCATCCCTTCCTTTCTCCATCCGAGCCCTAGCAACCATTGACTTAAACAGAATGTCATACATTTGGAATAGTATGTAGGAGTTTCAGATTGACTTCTTTTGCTTAACAATATGCATTTGAGATTTCTCCCTGTCTTCTCAACACTGAATAACATTCCATTGCATATATGGGTCGCAGTTTATCTGTTTACCTGCTGAAAGATATCTTGGCTGCTTTGAAGTTATAACAATTATGAATACTGCTGCTATAAACATTTGGTACAGCTTTTTGTATGCATGTAAATTTTCAGCTGCTTTAGGTAAAAATACAATTGCTGTACTACATGTTAAGGTTCTGTTTAACTTTCTAAGAAACTACAAGACTGTCCTGCAAAATGAATACTGTCTTGAGTTTTCACCAGCAAAAATGAGAATTCCCATTGTTCCATGTGTTCACCAGCATTTTATCAGTTTTGTATTTTAGATATTCTATTAATAACAAGTGTGTAGTGATGTCTCATTACTGTTTTAATTTGCTGTTCTTTAATGATTTTAAAGGTTTAATATACTTTCATTTGCTTCTTCATCATCCATATATCTTCTTCTGCAAGATGCTTGCTTTGGTATTTTTCTTAATTTATTGAGTTGTTTATATTCTTCCTGCTAGGTTTTGGGTCCTTCATGTAGTTCACCAGTCCTTTTATCAGATGTGTTTTCTCAGATATTTTCTCCCAGTGTGTGACTTGTCATTTCATTCTCTTAAAAGTGTCTTTCACAGAGCAAAAGTTTTTTATTTCAATGAGGTTCAAGTTTTCTTTTGTTTTTTTCATAGTACTTCTGATGTTGTATCTAAATCTAAGGGCATTTTTGTTTTTTCCTGTAGCTTCTAGGAGTTTGTTTGTTTCTTTTTTGGTGTTTTGCGTTTATGTCTATAATCTACTTTTTTTGGCATAAGGTGTAATGCCTGTGTTTACATTTATGGTTTTGCATGTATACATATATGCAGTATCATCTATTGAAAACACTATCCTTTCTTCAGTGAATTGCATTTGCTTCCTGGCCAAAGATCAGTTGGAAATATTTCCACAGGTCTATTTATAGGCTCCGTTTTCTGTTCCATCTATTTGTCCATTCTTTTGCCAACACGACAGTATCTTGATTAATGTAGCTTTCTAATGTGTCTTGAATTCCTGTGAGGTAGCCTTAACCAGACAAAGCAGAGCTTTGGAAACTGTGAAGGGGAGTTAGAATTTTATTTTAAATGTGAAGGAAAACCATGAAAGGGATTTAAGTGGAAAATGACATGGCCTAATTTATTTACTTATGTGCTTATGTGTCATTTTTTAATTACTTTGGCTACTGTTAGGAGAATGGATAAAGGAAATCAAGAATAGAATCATGGAAACTGGTTAGGAGGTTTTGAAACAAGTAAGAACTCCTGGAAGAGTCAGATGTCAGATTAGCTAGACATGAATATCTCCTTTAAACTTTCCTCATGATTCAATAAGCATGGAATCTGAGCTGAAAATAGAAATGGTGCAGAAAAAGATCTGTTCATAAATTCAGGAATCCAAAGGTAAAATCTGACAGGCAGTGATAGTAGAATATTAAGCAGGAAATGCCAGGCTCAGATCATCTCTAATAGCCCATTGCTTAACTGAACTTGTATTCCCTTCCTTAGTGCATTTTACAAGGTGCTTAAGTGTAAAGAAATGATCCAAGGTGAGTTAAGAAAGATGTTCATCAATTAAATGGTCATTTTGTCAGATATATACTTAAAGTTATTACTTCCCTTTAAATCAGATATCTGATTAGTTTCTTACTTGAGTGTTTGATAGGTTCAATAGCAATATTTAAGGAGCTGGAGTTTCCAGTGATATCCTAATGATATCCTACATTAAAAGCTAAATTCCTCTCCGGTTAGGACAGATTCCTTACCATTCACAATCTGCCTATCCTGTACCATTTCTTTGCAGTGTTTTTAACCAACATAATCTTAGCAGGAATAAAATCATAAATAAGTCTGTGGAGACTGAAAAAAATCTGATAAATTAATTTTTACGGAAAGATCAATAGACAGTAGATGGGTGCCTAAGGATGTGGGCTTGGAAACTATACTGCTTATGTTTGAATGTCAGCTCCACCAACCAACTGGTGACCAGAAACAAGTCAATAAGTTCTTATGTTGATACCTCAGTCTCTTCATGTGTAAAATGGAGATAAAACTGATACCTTCTTAATGTTGTTTTGAGAATTGAGGACTACCTAGAATACTCAGTCTTTTCGTGCCTAGGAAGAACAGGAAGCTGATTCGGAAGCTGTAGAAGCCTGTTCCACAGCAAGTGATGCTGAGGTAGATGGATTTAATAACAATATTAAAGGCAAGAGTAAGCAAGATACTGCAAGATTCTTCCTTGAGAGAAGATGGTTGCAACATTTGGTGTGCATGATGTAATCTATATCCCGCTAAGTAATGACTTAGTAGAACTTGAGAGAGTACAGATGTCTGAAGTTCCTGGCATCACTATAATTCCAACCCATCTTGGTACTATGTGTCCCATTCCTACACATCTATTATTCAAAATCTCCAGGCTCTTCAGTTCAGTTGGTCAGTCGTTTCTGGCTCTTTGTGAACCCATGATCCGCAGCACACCAGGCCTCCCTGTCCATCACCAACTCCCGGAGTCGACTCAAACCCATGTCCATAGAGTCGGCAATGGCATCCAACCATCTCATCCTCAGTCGTCCCCTTCTCCTCCTTTCCTCAATCTTCCCCAGAATCAGGGTCTTTTCAAATCAGTCAGCTGTTCGCATCAGGTGGCCAAAGTATTGGAGTTTCAGCTTCAGCATCAGTCCTTCCAATGGACAACCAGGACTGATCTCCTTTAGGATGGACTGATTGGATCTCCTTGCAGTCCAAGGGACTCTCAAGAGTCTTCTCCAACACCACAGTTCAAAAACATCAATTGTTCTGTGCTCAGCTTTCTTTACAGTCCAACTCTCACATCCATACATGACTACTGGAAAAACCATAGCCTTGACTAGATGGACTTATGTTGGCAAAGTAATGTCTCTACCTTTTAATATGCTGTCTAGGAGGGTAACAACTTTCCTTCCAAGGAGTAAGCATCTTTTAATTTCATGGTTGCAGTCACCATCTGCAGTGATTTTGGAGCCCCAAAAAATACAGTCAACCACTGTTTCCACTGTTTCCCCATCTGTTTGCCATGAAGTGATGGGACCAGATGCCATGGATCTTAGTTTCTGAATGTTGAGCTTTAAGCCAACTTTTTCACTCTCCTCTTTCACTTTCATCAAGAGGCTCTTTAGTTCTTCTTCACTTTCTGCCATGAGGGTGGTGTCATCTGCATATCTGAGGTTATTGATATTTCTCCCAGCAATCTTGATTCCAGCTTTTGCTTCTTCCAGTCCAGCGTTTCTCATGATGTACTCTGCATATAAGTTAAATAAGCAGGGTGACAATATACAGCCTTGGCGTACTCCTTTTCCTATTTGGAACCAGTCTGTTGTTTCATCTCCAGTTCTAACTGTTGCTTCCTGACCTGCCTTTAGGTTTCTCAAGAGGCAGGTCAGGTGTTCTGGTATTTCCATCTCGTTCAGACTTTTCCACAGTTTATTTTGATCCACATGGTCAAAGGCTTTGACATAGTCGATGAAGCAGAAATAGATGTTTTTTCTGGAACTCTCTTGCTTTTTCAGTGACCCAGGGGATGTTGGCAGTTTGATCTCTGGTTCCTCTGCCTTTTCTAAAACCAGCTTGAACATCTGGAACTTCACAGTTCATGTATTGTGAGAGCCTGGCTTGGAAAATTGTGAGCATTATTTTGCTAGTGTGTGAGATGAGTGTAATTGTGCAGTAGTTTGAGCATTCTTTGGAATTGCCTTTCTTTGGGATTGGAGTAAAAACTGACCTTTTCCAGCCCTGTGGCTACTGCTGAGTTTTCCAAATTTGCTGGCATATTGAATGCAGCACTTTCACAGCATCATCTTTTAGGATTTGAAATAGCTCAACTGGAATTCCATCACCTCCACTAGCTTTGTTCATAGTGATACTTCCTAAGGCCCACTTGATTTCACATTCCAGGATGTCTGGCTCTAGGTGAGTGATTATACCATCATGACTATCTGGGTTGTGAAGATTTTTTTTGGTACAGTTCTTCAGTGTATTCCTGCCACCTATTCTTAATATCTTCTCATTCTGTCAGATCCATTCCATTTCTGTCCTTTATTGAGCCCATCTTTGCATGAAAAGTTCCCTTGGTATCTCTAATTTTCTTGAAGAGATCTCTAGTCTTTCCCATTCTATTGTTTTCCTGTACTTCTTTGCATTGATCACTGAGGAAGGCTTTCTTATCTCTCCTTGCTATTCTTTGGAACTCTGCATTCAAATGGATATATCTTTCCTTTTCTCCTTTGCTTTTCACTTGTCTTCTTCGCACAGCTATTTATGAAGCCTCCTCAGACAGCCATTTTGCTTTTTTGCATTTCTTTTTCTTGTGGATGGTCTTGATTCCTGTCTCCTGTGCAGTGTCACTAACCTCCATCCATAGTTCATCAGGCAGTCTGCCTATCAGTTCTAGTCCCTTAAATCTATTTCTCACTTCCACTGTATAAGGTTTTTTATTTAGGTCATACCTGAATGGTCTAGTGGTTTTCCCCACTGTCTTCAATTTAAGTCCGAATTTGGCAATAAAGATTAATGATCTGAGCCACAATCAGCTCCCAGTCTTGTTTTTGCTGACTGTATAGAGCTTTTCCATCTTTGGCTGCAAAGAATATAATCAGTCTGATTTCATTGTTGGCCATCTGGTGATGTCCATGTGTAGAATCTTCTCTTGTGTTGTTGGAAGAGGGTGTTTGCTATGACCAGTGTATTCTCTTGGCAAAACTCTATTAGCCTTTGCACTTCTTCATTCTGTACTCCAAGGCCAAATTTGCCTGTTACTCCAGGTGTTTCTTGACTTCCTAGTTTTGCATTCCAGTCCCCTGAATGAAAAAGACATCTTTTGGGGGTGTTATTTCTAAAAGGTCTTGTAAGTCTTCATAGAACTGTTCAACGTCAGTTTCTTCAGTGTTACTGGTCGGGGCATAGACTTGGATTACCATGTTATTGAATGGTTTGCCTTGGAAACGAACAGAGATCATTCTGTCATTTTTGAGATTGCATCCAAGTACTGCATTTCAGACTCTTTTGTTGACTATGATGGCTGCTCCATTTCTTCTAAGGGATTCCTGCCCATGGTAGTAGATATAATGGTCATCTGAGTTAAATGCCCCCATTCCAGTCCATCTTAGTTCACTGATTCCTAGAATGTCAATGTTCACTCTTGCAGGCCCTTCAACCAGAATTGAAAAGAAGATACACCAAGAGGAAAACTCAGAGAAGGGGATCCATACCATATGAAGTTCAAAAGGCTTTCATTATTAGGTTTAATATGAACAGGAACTGATATATCAGCCACTAAATGACCTGATGGAATTGGGTCTCAAGATTTTTCGAAAAGCAGCTACTCATACACAGGAAGTATGAGAAGAGCCTACACTTCCCAGAGAATTTTGTGGATGTAATAGTAATATCACTTTGGTCTCCTGGAATCTTCAGGTCTGACCAAGGTAGCTGAAATACAAGCCCTCTTGTGGTATTAACCTTGTTTGTCTAGAACTAGATAGCAGCATTTGGTCTCAATTCAGTCCAGGTATTACCACCCTTATAGAGAAGCCTGGAGATAGCAAAAGCAGTCCTTGGATCTCACTGCCTACAGCCCCAAGCTCATGTATATATATAGCTTAGTACTGGGAGATGAGGGCATTTTTACCTGTACTCTTCCCTAGAGACTCAGGATGGGAAGAAGTTGTTAAGGCAAAGTCCATAGGATAGTCCTTTTCTCTTAATTAGAGAGACATTACATTCAATGTAAAAGAGTCCTGTTATTTGTAGATTTGCCTATATATCTTCCTATCAGATACAATTGTGTTATTGTGCAATTGTGTTGTTAACACAGTAACCCACTAGGAACTATTGCACAATGGTACTACGCCCATGCCCTAGAGTCTTTTCCCTTTGTATTTAATACCTGTGTTAGTTTTATAGGCCTGTCATCAGTAATAGCATAAACTGGGTGGCTTAAACAACAAGAATTTATTCTCCTCAGTTCTGGAGGCAGGTTGGGTTTCCCCTGAGCCCTCTCTCCCCGGCTTGCTTCTCATTCTGTCCTCACGTGGTCGCTCCTCGCTTCTGTGTGTGCCTGCCCCTGGTCTCTCTGTTTCTTATTAAGACAACTGTCATAATGGATCAGGGCCCCACCATTATGAGATTTAACCTTAATTTTCTTTCTAAAGATTCTATCTCCAAATATAGTCATATTCTAAAGTATTAGGGCTTCAGTTATACAAATTCTGGGGTGACAATGTCCAGTTCATCACAGTATGTAAAGAATATGTCCGCTTGATATGCTCAACATGTCTTTGTGCTGGCCGAGGACACAGTGCTATCAACCACCTGTGTAACATGGAGGGAGTTCTTATCTCCAGGAAATACTTCTGTTGCAGTGGTAGAATAAGACTAATTCTCTGGTAACCTCAAACTTTAACCAAAAGTGATGGCAGCAGAAAGTCTAAACTGTTTGAAACACACCAGGTGGGTGATTCTGAGAAGTCTCACCCAGCTTAATAACTTAAGCAAGTATTGGGTACACTCTGTAAATGTTAACTGCACACCTTAACCCTCTCTTGGCCCTCACCTCTTCATCTGACTCTCCTTGTTTATATCTCTGGCTTTATTCTGGAAATATTAAAGCCCATTTCTGGCCAACTGAAATAAAGATCCATAGGAACTAGTTATAAATTAGTTATAAATATTTGAGATAGTGAAATTAAATGACAGCAAGAGTGTTTTTCATATTTTACTGCTTGCCCTGGAAGTTCTAAGAAAGAGACATTTTTTACCATGTAATAACAATAACAGCATTTATTGAGCACTTACTTCATGAAAGGACATTTTCAAGATCTTTACATGTCTTATCCTATCTTTACAGTAGCACTGTGCTTTCAGTTATATTATTATCCTCATTTTGTGATGAAAAAGTTGTGTAGCAGAAATATTTTAAAAGTTTCTCAAATGTAAAGGGCTAGCTAGAGGTACAGTTTTAAGTAAAATTCAGTCAGATTGGTGAAGTCATCACTTGCTGTTTGTGCCTTTTTTCCTACTTATCAAGGAAGACTTATTATTCTGTTTTAAAGTAATCACATTAATTAGATTAACAGAGAAGCGATGAAAAGAACTTTCCCTAAACACGTCAGAATATTTAATAGTGTGTCTTCAAAAGACTGAAATTTCAGAATACAAATGCATATTTATGAAAGAAAAAAATTTAACATTTGCCATTCTAAATGCCTGGGGTGAAATAAACTTTGAAAACTGGGGGAAACGTCAAAGATCTTAAACCAAAGAAATACTGAGAAAATATTTCTGAAAATTATCAAGAGCATTGGTATGTTTGTATTTCCCCCAGACCCCTTTTATCCTGTAGCTATCACTTTAAACCACCTCCGTCCCCATCACACTTGTAATGTCAATTGATACAGCTTCCCCAGCTATCAAAATTCCAGCAAAACTGATTTCACCAGGCTGTTATTTTTTTTTCTTTCTATAGCCTGGAATAGCAGCAGTAGTAGCACAGCCTGATATGTGTGGTCAGAGATCATTTTGAGTAACAGTCTTATATTTCTGATAAAAAAAATAAAAGACAAACCAGATGAAATGTACAAATCAACATGGTGAAAGTGTACACACACACACACACACACACGAACACACATGCCCTCATTTTTCAAAGCCACATCCTGAGTTACTTTATTTTCTGTACTTGTGTTGAATTCATGATCATTAACATTGTGTTTGAAGAGAGGCGACAATGTAAGGCACCAGCATTCTATAAAAATCATCAGAGACTGGAATCTGTTCCAATTGACATGCATGCTATTCCTACAACAGTGAAAATCTTTTTTAGATATTTTTTTAATTAAAAACATTAACAAACTCATCCTACTGAATGCTGGGTAGTATTCTTTGTTTTTTTCACATAGAAGAGAAACTGAACCACAATTGCTAGAATAGAAAAAGTAAGTCAAATACTTGACTTGGACCCCAAAGAGAACCCTTAGAAACCGTCAGCAGATACAACAGCTAGTGTGATACCTCAGAACCAGAGAAGATTTCAAGGTCTTCGAAGTGCGTGTCCTTTAGAGCTGTTTCCTGTTGTTTTGATTTTGATTGTGAAATTCTACCCACTGATCCAAGGAAAAGACAGACCTGAGTAACCTGGCATGTCAGTACAAATAGAACTGGCATAATGATGCTGGGACTGGTTTCTTGTAAATGTTTTTTAGAAACCCTAAGTAAAATTATTTTTCACTACCTGTTAATATATTGCAGATGTGCTCACATTCTGTATAATCTATTGCATGATAATCTCCTCAAGTGTATCATGAGGTGACTGACTCATGCGATTCCTGAGGCCTTTCTTGCTCCAACATCCATCTTCCAATCTTCTTAGAATTCAAGAGCATCACTCCTCATGTGACTCATTTGTGTAAATAATGATATTTTGAGCAGAGCAAGGATAAACATAACACACTGGATACAAATTATGCAGTAATGTTATAACTACAAATTCATGTTTAGGTGAGGTTTGCTTCTTATACATGGGTTTTGATATATCTTTTTTTTTTTTTCCATGTCTGGCCTCTCCTTCCTTCCTGAGCCTTCCTCTTACACTAAAAAAGCTACCCCCTTTTCTTTTGGGTAAAGTGTATATTGCAACATCTACTATCTGAGCATAGTATGGATGTATCTAATCTAGTCAGTAATTTACTTACTTGTTGTCAATTTACTTATTTTTTTAATTTACTTATTTCATCTTTACTCACTTTCTGCTACTCTAAATGTTCTCCCATTAAGTATTTTTGAAAAACTGTCTCTGGGTTTGTACTTACTATCAAGCCCTGAAACCTTATCCTATTTGCAAGCTATCACACAGCCAAAATATTTATTATCTGACCCTTGACAGAAAAAATTTGCTGATTCTTCTTCTGTATCTCATAATTGGGTCTCACTAGAGACCAAGTCTCCTTTAATTCTCAAAGTTAAATTTGAGATAAAATTAGGTTTTTAAGCTCCAGAGTAGCTTTTATTGGGGGGCAGCACTCATTATTATTTAGTATCAGGGAAACAGTGGCTGACTTTATTTTTGGGGGCTCCAAAATCACTGCAGATGGTGATTGCAGCCATGAAATTAAAAGACGCTTACTCCTTGTAAGAAAAGTTATGACCAACCTAGACAGCATATTAAAAAGCAGAGACATTACTTTGCCAGCAAAGGTCTGTCTAGTCAAGGCTATGGTTTTTCCAGTGATCATGTATGGATGTGAGAGTTGGACTGTGAAGAAAGCTGAGCGCTGAAAAATTGATGCTTTTGAACTGTGGTGTTGAAGAAGACTCTTGAGAGTCCTTTGGACTGCAAGGAGTTACAACCAGTCCATCCTAAAGGAGATCAGTCCTGGGTGTTATTGGAAGGACTGATGTTGAAGCTGAAACTCCAATACTTTAGCCACCTGATGCAAAGAGTTGACTCATTTGAAAAGACCCTGATGCTGGGAAAGATTGAGGGCAGGAGGAGAAAGGGACGACAGAGGATGAGATGGTTGGATGGCACCACTGACTCTATGGACATGGGTTTGGGTGGACTCCAGGAGTTGGTGATGGACAGGGAGGCCTGGCTTGCTGTGGTCATGGGGTCGCAAAGAGTCAGACACAACTGAGTGACTGAACTGAACTGATTGCTAGGATGTGGCGGTGTGTTTTTTCATTTTCTGTTTTGGTTTGAGTTTTGGAGTTTTGTGCTGCTGCTCACTGATCTCCTCATTTTCTTTTCCTGTCTCCCCACCCGCCCCCCTCCTCCTTTTATTCAGTCCTTCTCTCTTTAAGTACTTTGGTTTCAAGGAGTGTATGTTCTGATTACTCTGCCTAATTACCCTCTCTTTGGTACTGGGGTGCCTTTGGTGGGCTATTATTTGGGGGGTTGGCTCCTGGAAACTTGGGTCTGTTGAAGAGAGTACCCCTACCTGTGGTAACCCTACAACTACAAAGACAATGGAGTTGGCTCTAGCTCCTTCCATTTAAGGGCAGGCGGTTAGCTGTCTTCACAGGCCCCAGAGAAAACTTCACTGCTCTCCAGAATCCCTGTATTCTCTCAGTGTTGAAGCAGGAAAGACTAAACTCATAAACTCAGCAGCCGTTTGGTTTTTTTTTTGAATTGGGTGATTTGTTTTCCAACCCATCTAATGCCTTTATAAAGTTATTCTTCACCACTTTTATCCATGCCTCAGCTGCACTGAACTGCCCAAAGATTGTTAGAGTTTTTTGTGTAATAAAAGGGAAGTCCCATAGGATTGGAATCAGAAGAGAATGGAACCAGTTTCAGCCATCATGTTCTAGAATTCTCACATATATCTCAAAAGCCTTTAAGCATATTATTTTAATTTACTTTGCTTAACATTATTTTAGAAAAAAATCAGAGCTTAACAAACAGAGTGTCAGGAAGCATTTAACCAGAGGCTTCCTGTGTGCTGTTTTGGATCTGTCAGGAACCCTCTGGCCCTCATTGATTCCTGAATATTCAGGAATTGAGAGGAGAGGCACGCCTTTCTGGGGGCTGAGGAATCCAGGCATTTCTCATTACAGTGTTAAGTATCCTCTTCCTTTTTATGAGCCAAATGGTAAAAGGTGATCGTTTGCAACTCTATCTCTATGATAGGGATCGTCTTATGTTTTGTAAGTCTGGAATTTTAACCTTTGTCTTTGCTGAGAATAACCACCTGGTAAGACAGTATATATGCCCACACCATGTTGATTAAAACACCTTTGCTCCATCAGAGCTTGGGTCCCCATGTCTTTCTTTCTTTCTTTCTTTCTTTCTTTCTTTCTTTCTTTCTTTCTATTCCTTCTGTCTTTCTCTCTCTCTCTATTTCTGGCTAATTCCTTGGAGCGCGGAGGCCCGCTGAACTCACTTTCTTGCCCGGGCTTCTAAGACCCTCTCGAGAGGGCGCCCGGTGCCTCCGTGCAGCAGCGCCGCCCCAAGAACAGGCCTCTATTGGCTTTCCGTGTAACCCAGGGGTTATCAGCCTCTTTCTCTCGCTTACTCTCGGAACCACGAGGTTCCGGTCCATCAAAGGACCAACAATAGAGAAGCTGTGGCTACAAGGTCCATTACTTTCTCTAGATACTAATAAATAAGAAAAATAACCCAAATCCCTTGAAAACTCATGCTTCTGGTGAAGAGTCTATTTAGTTTCCCATATAACCTTCTACCAGAACCCATTTTTAGAGATTTTTTTTTTTACTTTTCTTTTTTCTTCCTGTGGTAGAGGAGCTCATTTAAATGTCACATCAATTAATATATCATCATGTATCATTCATTTCATCTTTTGTAAGAAAAATGTGAGAAATTGCACTTTGCTGTAAAGAAGGTAATATGCCAAAAATGGAAATAATTTATTTCACTGGTCTTAATTCTTAACTAAGAGAATAAGTTTAGCAAGCTCTAGTACTAACAGCAGAATAGAATTTGTTGCCAACTTATTTTATTTCCAACCTTTTTGTTTTTTTTCAACCCTGAGAAGGTAAAATATGAATGGATCATCTTCTACCCTAAAGACAGTACATTGGAAGAAAATGTCACAGTTTTCTTAAAAGAGTCTCTTGCACTCTCATATCATGCACAATATATGTTTCACTTTCTAGTAGCAGACTTTTAAGCCCTAATAGTTGTATCACAATGCTGTCTTTATATGAATTATATCCATATTAGGACCAAATACCTACAGATGGAGAGTGAGAAAAAAATCCAACATAATAGATTTGTCATTTTTCCACTCTAGTTCAAAGCTATATGATTTTCTCTGTTACCGTCAATTATATTTCAAACATTTTCAAATATGTTCTCTTTTAGCTCCTATGCAGCCAAAAAACAGAAATAAGAATGTAATTTTTAAAGACAGCTAAGTTATCAAAGCAGAAATGCTTTTTTAATTAAATCACTATTCCATACCATGGTGAATTTGAAATTCTTAGTAGTTTTGAAAGGAATATTTAGCAATACCCAGGGAATGTAAAACAGTGGTATCAGTGAGACTTTCACTCTAAAACACACCTATACCTCAGCCTTATTAATTGAGAGGGGCCAGCCCAGAGTCTGACTGCATAGAGAGGAAGGGTGTAGGTCTCTTTAGCAGGTGAGCACCTCCAGTGGCTGTTCTCCTTCACATTTATCAAAAAGCATCTGCCGTTTTCTCAAACATCCTTCTTGGAAGGAACTGGATAAAGCTTTCAGACTCATAGAGGTAGTAACTGTGTACCTCAGGTACTTTTCTGTAAAGTTTATGTCCAAAGCATCAACTCTTGGAAGGCGATCCTGCATGAGAGGATTTGACAGAATGTACAGAAGGGATAGAAAGGACTCTTCAACCTTTAATGAATGGAAAACACCTTTCTCAATGCAGAAAGAATCAAGCCATGGGAATGATTTTTATCTGTAATGCGTGTCACATATTGTTCCCAAAATGATTTTAGCTATCTTACAAGGATGCATAAAATGAAAAGGTAAGAGTGTCATTTCAGAAGGAAAAAAAAAAAAAGGATGTAGGAACAGAGTGGAATTGAAAAAAAAGGGGGAAGATGTCATAATAACCCACAAGTTTACCAAGATAAACCACAAAAATAGATCTGACTTACAAATTAAAATCTTCTAAGTTGTAAACTTTACAACATCCATGAGATAGAAACAAAACAATTGCTAAGGAGAACTGCACTATACCTCGTACTAAAGTCAGACACTACTTTCTTCTGGGGGTCCTCATGAAAAGGGTGTTGAGATGCAAATGAATCAGATGTCCCCAGAATGTCACACTGTGCTCTTAAGAGCTGAGAATTTCTTTGTTATAGAAACTTAAACCTTTTGAGATAAAGTGCTGTTATGCAATTCATCACTTTTTCTAAAAAAAATTCCTCAGGGTTATCTTCATAGGAAAATGTCTTTATCTGTGGTTAAATATGTGGCATATAGTTGAAATAAAAGAGATACTACTAAACCTACTTTTAAAATAGTGTCTTTTTTAAAAAAAAAGAATCATATATTTTAATAACATTGAATGCTACTAAATTCCATAATCAGATTTTTCCTCTTAGGAATTCACCTTGACTTTCAGTCAAGTCTGTAAGTTTACTTTCTTATTATCTGCCCAGTTCCTCCCAGTCCACATAGCCATGACTACTGCCTTCATTCAGATTCCCATCATCTTTAACGTTGATCATTCCTGCAACTGCTCTGACATCCTACTTTTGCTGTGTCTTGTTTTTACTTGAGTCAATCTTCTTTTCATATCCAGGTTGATTTTTCTAAATTAAAAATATGTTTATGATCATCCTCTGTTCAATATCTTTCTGTTGTCCCTATAATGATTTACCTGACACTGTATAATGCAGCCTTTTCTCTCTTTACTGGAGCATTTGGAGCATTAATTCCAACACTCGGATACTTTACTTTGTCATCCTCAAAAACATGTACTTTCCAAATTTGGCATTCTTTGTTTACACATTTTCTCTTTGCACATTCTATTGTCACAATTTTAAAAAGTTTTTTTTTTTTTTTTAACTTCATTTAAGTGTGATTACCACCTTCTCTGGAATCACTTTTCTGGTGCCATCCATATGGATTTGCTCATGATCATGGATGCTCTGTTAGTCCCATGTACTTTTTATCTCAGTTCTATCCCTTACCACTCTTAAAGCTCCATCACTCTTCTGTCTCTCAGAAGTCTGTGAGACTTTTAAGCCATTTTTAGCTCTAATTCAATGTCTAATAGATTCACTTATACTTACTAATAACAGAAATAACTTTGATATATAATTCTTCCTATGAGACAACATGTTATAAGGCTAACACATTTATACACACTTAGTTCTCATAATAACTGCGAGAGGTAAATATTAATCTCTATAGATAATAAAATAAGAAATGTAGAGGTTAATTTCTCAATCACTATCTAACTAGTATACCTAGTACAGAAGCCAAAAAGCAAAGGCTAAACAATTTCATTAATAAAAATTTCTAAATTTCTACATAAAAAAATGCCATGCTCAAGCTCAAGAATGAGCTAACATCTGAAAAGGGAATATGTTTTTAATTATTTTAACAGAAAAAGGTTAGGTACTTTAATTAACAAAGTGCTTTTGCAAATCTGCACAAACAAGATGAAATCCAACAGTAGGAAAAAATAAAAGCTTAAAAATGGCTAAGGCAGATAATAATGATAAAGTAAATTATATTGATTATATAATTATATTGATTATAGCTAGTTTTTATTTAGTAATGCAGCTCTTTGCATGGTAGTGCTACACTGTAAAAATTACCATGTAAGCTGAAATCATACAAAGAAATCATCTTCCATGGGAAATATTACAGTTGTTCTATGACCTTTAAATTTAATTTTTGTGAAAACACTTAAAACTCTCTTACTATAAGTTGTATATTTATAGAAAAGTAGAATTAGTAAAATTAACATTTATTTAGTAGACTGTGATTTAAAACATTGAAAAGTTGAGAATCAATATTTTAGTTCTTTATGAAAAACTTATCAGGAGCAGCTTTACCTCACATTGGTTAATATATGACCCATAGTAAGCATCTTTTATGTGCCTTGGCAAATTGTTATTTTCCTTTCTAAGTTGGGATCAGTTTCCAACATTGCATACTTTTTGCTTTCAATGTTCTGAAATGCCACTGAGAATTTCTTTAACGTGGTGGTTTTTGCCAGCCCTGCTTCCTCTGGGATATCTTCATCCTTTTCTTTTTTTTTTTTAACAACCACTTTACTCATATATATTAATAACTATTTCCTAAAACTTCATTTACATTATGATTCTAATTTCAGTGTGTTTATTCCTTTTCATTTATTTGCTGGTTTCCTCTTTGTTGTCCAGTTTCCTCTTTCAATTATCCCTTTTTATAATGGCGCATGGTTTCTCTCAGCCAGTAGAAGAGACCCAACTGAATGTTTTGCTTCCTGTGTGTGAACTGAATAACAGATGTGCAGGGACCAGTCACCACAGGCTTTGAAAGAAGCAGTGTGGATGGTCACTGATCATGATGTATGTCTGTTGTTTCCATAGTGATTTGTGTACTGAAGAGTAAGTGGTGAAGATTGTACTTAATGCAAATACATTAATACTTAATGCAAATACTTAAGTATTATTGTACTTAAGCAAATAATACAGCACGGAAACTGAAATATAAACTGTGTTTTGGGGTTTTGATGTTATTTGCATATCAGAACCATGCAAAATGAGAACTCTCATACTTGACATATGCCACACCTCCAGCTTCTCTATACTAAATTCTCACAATAATTATAAACAAGCAGTGTTGTGTTGCTAATTTGACAGATGAGGAAACTGCAGCACAAAGCTGTAAAGTAATTCATTCAAGGCCCTAATTATATGTTAAGCAGGATTCAAATCCATGATCTGTTTAGGAAACTGTGCTCTTAGTCACAACCCCTATTATCTCTAGTATTCTAAATAAATGAATATACTGGGCACATGAGGTTTCCTGTCCTCTGTGATTTTTTT